TCAGCGTACTCGTTGGCCTCCAAGCCGCGGGGTCCTTGGCAGCCGGGTGGGCTCTTCTGGCTCCCTGATTGATGCCCGCAGAAAGCCAGGCGGCCCAGTCCTTCCTAGCCCGAGAGATGAACTTAGTGTTGGTCGCCTCGAGGGCCTCCTGGACCTTAACGCCGAGGGCGTCCATTTCTCGACCCAGATCCTCCGCGGATGCCCCGCCCAGCCAGGCCCGAGCGACGCCAGCCACACTGTCGAACAAAACCGCCTGGTCACCACGATTGTCTCTGACCAGGGGGGGAGGACTGCGCAAAGCCTCGGCCAAAGCACGAGCTTCCTTGCCCGTGTAGGCCGACCTAATGCACCTCGCCAGGCGGTGGAAAGAGGAGTTTAACCATCTCATACCGTGGAGCTCAGGGTAACGGGGGGCCCCCAAGTCCCGTCCCAGGGAGGGGCGCCACCAAGGGGCCACCCCCTTTCCCCGGGCCCCAAAGTAAGAAATCCTACAACCCATCACTCTGCAGAGCTCCCGCTCCGCAGTGTTGGCCCAAACCTTGTAGCACGTAGCCAACGTCGAATCAAACGCATCGGAATCTCCCCTCAAGGCCCGAACTCGAGCCTTGTCTATCAGCGGAAAAACCTCGCTGTAGTCCAGAGGTTGGGGCGAAGGACCGAAAGGGGGACCCGCAGCAATCGGGGGGGGGGGGGGGGGGGTCCTGAAAGACAACGCATGCAAATTGGCTAACGCGAAAAAACTGAACACGGACAAGGACATGCGGAACAAAACAAGCCCCCCGAGTCATTCACCGAGGCCGCCTGAACCGCTTTAGCCAGACCTCCAGAGACCACAAAATAGTCATAGAGTTTAAGCTCCCCCGTCCCGAAGCACGTAGGTCCCGAAGTCGAAACGAGCTGGGCCTTCAAGTTACTGACGAACTCGGTGCTATGCAACATGTCAGGCTCGTTATTGAAGTCGCCTCCCACGATGAAGGGAAGGCCCAGCACCGACAGCTCTGCCCCGAGAGCTCCCAGGACCTCGAGATTGCGGTCGTCCATTCCCACGGGATCTTTCAGGTAGGAGAGGAGACAAAGATGGACTGACCTCTGGGGGGCTGTACAACAGCCGCGACGGCCCTGTGGGGCCAAACAATATAGCCGTGGCAAAAGGGTTCGATCAGCCCCACCCAGGCTCGAGCCAGGATGGCCACCCCAGACGACCCCCCCCCCCCCCCCCCCCTCTCCAAGGGTGCAAGGGGCCCAGACCGATTTCCAACCTTGCGAGAAACACCGCTGCGAAGCTCGGGGGACTTGATCACCCGCCAGGAGTTTGCGTTCCTGGATCAAGAGGACGTGGGCCGAGCACTGAGGCAACCATTCCTTTACTGACGACCACGCGTTGCCGTTGGTCGTTTCAACCACTAAAGAAAAATCCCCCAGGGGGGGCCTCGGGGATCTCAGGATGGCTCGGAGCGACAGCTCTTGACTTGCAGAAAAGTTGCCCCTTCCCAGGCCGAAGGGGCTGGACGTGCTGCCTGGATTTAGCTTGCCCCGCTCCAGGCAACGGGGGCTGCGCATAAAGCCTGGACGTGTCCGGACCGCTCTTAAAAGGGCAAGTGCCCTCGCTCAAAAGCTTGTCGATTTCATCCTTAGCCTGCTGAGACTGGACTTCCCTTGGCAGCAGCGAGGCCTTCGGAATCAGACCGTTGGCCATCTGACCTGCTGCCCCGCAAATGGCGGAGGGGTGGCTAGGGGGATGACTGAACGACGAGAGGTGCCCTGCTCCGGGCGACAGGGCGCACAAGGCCTGGATTGAAGCTCCGCCGAAGAGGAGCGACCCTCCTCCACGGCTCTCGCAGCGCACTGCGATGTCCTGACCCAATTTTCGACAAGTCCAGCGCAATGTGGGAGAGATGGGCCCCGACCAGGGCCTCACTGCGCCCGAATGAGCTCCTTGGAACGCTAAAGCTTGAAAAAGTTGGCTGGCGATCCCCCCCGCGGCTGGGTTCCACATGACGCGACGCGATCTCGCGGAGTAGCTCTGTGTGTGTGTGTGTGTGTGTGTGTGTGGGTGTGGGGTGGGGTGGGGTGGGGTGGGGTGGGGTGGGGGTGGGGTGTGGTGGTGGTGGTGGTGGTGGTGGTGGTGGTGGTGGTGGTGGTGGTGGTGGTGGGGTGGGGGGGGGGGGGCCTGCGCGGCCTTGACTCTGGCAGCCTCCGCACGGACCCGTGCGAGCATGGCGTCAGAGTCCCCTGGCACAGACGGCGTTCCAGGCGACACAGGTTGCTCCGCAGCCTCGGCGGCAGCGGCAGAATGATCCCCCGCTGCGGCACCCGCTGTTGGAGCGTCACCTTGGCCGTCGAAAGGCCCACCAGCAGCTTCGCCAGCAGCGGTGCGGCGGCGCTTCTGCTCCAGCCGCGCGGTCTGGGCAGCGTGAGCCTCCTTGGCGTTGTTGGCCGCCTGGGATAACAGCTCCTTCGCCATGGTGTGGAACTGCGAGACCAGCGTGTCGCGTCCCTTCTTGATCTCGTCCATTTCCTCAGCACTGATGTCATCGTCGCCCACATTGAAGACTGAACCAAACTCAATGTCGAAACCCTCAATCCGTCCAGCCAACAAGTCCTCCAAGTGGATAGTGGGGACAGTGTGCTCGACGGTGTCTGGCTTCGCGGATGACGCGACGAGCTTGGCCATCTCCTCGTAGCTCTTGTCCAACTGGTCCAGCTCGCACGCCATAGAGCGTACCAGATCCCGTTGGGCTGCCAACTGCATCTCCAGCGTGGCGATCCTCTTGAGCTCCTTCTCCATCCTATTCCCGTGCTTGACCCGCTCGCGCTGGATGCGTGCAAGGAGCTCCTCAGGACCAGGCTTGGGAGCAGAAGGAGCGCGGCGAGCAGCGAACTGGGCCCGAGCCTTGCCAACAGCCTCGGTCCAGCCCATCTTCTCGGCCATCTTGACGAACGACTCGAGCTCCTCCACCGACAGCTCCGCGAGCTTGGGGTCTTGCTGAGCAGCGCCGCCTTGTAGTCCTGGAGACTTGGCGCCACCCTTGAAGAGCATGGCCGAGCCCCCATTCCACGCGGAGCCTGATGGAGCGTTCCGAAGAGCTCCACAGTACTTGCAGAAGAAATGCGACGGCTTGTTCTTGCGGCGCCCACAAGAGCCACACGACCACTTGCCGCCAGGATGAGGCCCAGCACCATCGCCGCGAGGAGCTTGAGGGCCAGGCCGAAGGACTGGCCACTCCTCTGCCTCGCGCCACGGTGGAACGGGACCGCCGCCTTTGCCGCCATACGAGCCCCAGTTCGCGTGCCATGGGCGCCACGCAACCTTGGACTTGCCACCAGCGCCTTTGCCACCCATTGCAGACGTGCCGTGGTGGCAACTGCTCCGATGGAGCGCGAAACCGAGGGTTGAGATCCCTCAAACTGCGGAAAGATGAAGCCAAACCGGCCCGCAACAGCAGTGTGCCGTTCTGAAGAGTTGTTGTTGCAAGCGTAGGCAGTGCCTGAGCCAGAACGGCTTGCCCAAAAACGTTTCCATCACTTGGGGGCGCATCTTTCACTTCCGCCACCTTCCGTCGCCCTTCCGCCGGCTTCCGCCGGCGGAGGCAGCCTCGTTTTACTTCCGCCGACCTTCCGCCGCGGAAGAGACGACAACTCCTTCTATCCTCGAAGGCAAGGCACTTCTTGGAACGCCCCATGTGTTTTCAAAGTAAAGAGCTTCGCGGATAGGCGTGGAATGGCTTTTAGGATGTAGCACTCGCCTGAGCCGCTGCACACACTCTGTCCCACCTGCTTCGGAAATTTCACGGATGGAGGCCGAGCTGGTTCGTAAATGTGGCTCTCGCCGTAGCGCCGCGCGCATAGAGTTCCCAAAGCCTCCAACAGTTACATGCAAGGAGGGGATTTCCTTTTCGATTTGGACTCTCGCTTCGTACTTCCGCATGCCTGTGTGCAGTCGTGCACGGATGCAACGCGAGTCCTTTTCAACATGGTCCTCTCGCTTGAGACATCTTCGATACAACTGGACCCAATATATAATAACATCCTTCAAGAACATGAGACCCGCCGCCGGTCAAACCACACAGAGCATCTAAGAGCACCCTCCCCAGGATGCACCAGACAAGCCAACAAACACGAAGATCATGAGGGTGCCCTCCCCGAGCCGACTTCGATATCATACCTCGGTCCGATAACAATTATGGCTGGCCAGATACGTGAAAGGGTGCCTCAGCTTCGCACGTGGAGGGCGGTCCCTTCTCAAAGCGGGGCCCGCACTGAACAATTCCTTGAGCCATGGTAAGTATCTTCAACTTGGCTCCTAGCTCAAAAGGACTGTCTTCCAGAGGAGGAGCGGAAGAGGAGGAGGAGGGGGAGAAGACCGAAAACACTTCAACCTTCTAGCTCAAGGGATGGGTGGAAGGCGGCTTATTTTCACCACCGGGCTCTCGCCTGAATTGCAGGCTCACGGAAGGCTCGCATTTCAAGGGGACGCTTCCCGCAGTGAAAAGCAATAGTTGTAGAACCTTGTGAGAAAGGGTTTCGATACGGGAGGATGTCCAGCTCGCTGAAGTATTCTGGGCTTACTCAGGGCAGCCTCTGGACCTGTCCTGTGGCGCATTCTGACAGCGACTTCGAGGCGGATCCTTAGGTGGTGACAAGGCGGCAAAAAAGAGGTCGGATTCCATCCCCCCTCCCGCTCCTTCTGCTCTTTCTTCTTTCCTTTCTTGTTTTTCCTTGTCCTCCTCGTCCTTTGCCACCTCCTCGTCCTCCTCTCCCCTCGTCCTTCCCCTGCTCTTCCTCAGCCTCCTCCTCCACCCCCTCCCCCTCCCCCTCCTCTTCCTCCTCCTCCTCCTCCTCCTCCTCCTTAGTCTCTCCTCCCCGTCCTCCTCGTCCTGCTTGCCGTCCTCCTTGTCGTCCTTCTCGTCTCCCTCCTCCTCGTCATGCCCCCCTCCTCCCTCCCCTTAACCCCCCTCCTCGTCCGACGGCGACGACGACAACCAACACAGGCTTGCCGCCTGCTGCTCAGCAGACGCCTCGGCGTTGGCGGGCTGCTGCCCTGCGATGGCCTTGAGGAGCATGGCGACCAAATTCTTGAAGAGCCCCCCCACCTGCGAGGGAACCGCAAGCGAGCCCGGGGCGGAAGCCGGGGCGGGAGTGAGAAGAAACGGGTATTCGCAGAAGGCTCGAAAGTCCACCGGCCTTCTGCGAAGTTCTCTCAGCCTTCCCGAAAGACGCAGACCCAAACATCCGACGTCTCGATGTTTTCGAGACGCGGGCCCCCGACCTCCCGACCACTTCCCTGGGACCGGTTTTTCATCCCCAATAGTTTTTTGACGGTCCCGAGGGCCGGCGAGGGCTCCGAGAGGCCAAAAACTATGAAAAACCTCCGTCTCGATTTTCTCGAGACGCCCGATGTCTAGGGACAGCCTTTCCGGAAGGCGCGAAGGCTTCGGAGAAGTCCCGCCGACGCATGGCACAAAACTTGAGACGGCTCAATCTCGATGCCTTCGGCCTCTGGAAGGAACCCACAAAAACGTACGCGCCCAACTATACACATGAACGCGGCCCCTCGATCCGCGAGACTGGCCGCATGATATCAAATTTCGCGCAAAGCGCACTCTCGAAACCAGCGTGGATTCATGCACGCGTGCGTCCTTCTTTCGATCCTGACTGTGGGGACCCTCGCCGTGCCCCGGGACCGTCGGGAAACGGCTCGGGAGAGACGACCGGCCCCAGGGCCAGGGTCGGGACTTTCCGGCGCCCCTTGCGGGAACGGATCGTGCATCGGTTCTGCCAGTCCCCAAACAGCGCCGAAGAGGCCCACGACGCCTCAACCGTGGACTCCCCGTCTCTTCTGGGTGTCAGCGGAATGGCGTGAACCTCTTGAATCGTACGTCGGCGCTTCGGCTCTGCTTTTTTCTTGCGTCCTTTCTGTGCCTCCTGGGGCGCTGTCGTCGCCACCGCTGGAATTCCCTCGGAACTGTGGCCACAGCGCGCCCGTTCAAATGGAGGGGCCCACGGACACACAGATAAATCGACACAAATCCCAGGATTCCCTATATCTTATCATATCATCTTGACTCTCGTCTTCCCCTCCACTTCCTATATTTTGCTGCATTTTCCCGGGAATCGACGTTTATTCGTGTCTGTGTCTTTTTCCCCTGCCTGATGCGAGATCAGAAGGCAGATTTTCGAGGGAAGACCCGACCCCGTGGCATCGTGAGGCGTCACGATGAATGGTGATAAACAGTGGTTGGCCTTCGGGGGCCTTTACAGTGAACCCGTATAGTTAGGATGCGCGGTAAGGATGCAAGGGTCTTGGAAGGCCATGTCGACACTTTGCGAACGGGGCGCGGGCAGCGAAAGCGGCCGAGGATTGGAGGATTGGCCGAACGGGAAGAACGCAAGAAACTTTGAAACGTTGTTCATCCTTACTTTGCGTGCGGGTTGACTGTGCTGGGCCCTGGGATCAGCAAAACCTACGGCAGGTTCGTGACACCGCGGGGATCGTTCGTCCTCGAATAATCGGCCGTTTCCGAAACGTCAGATCGTTCAACATCGACCGAGTCTGGGTCGCTGGCGGCCTTCAAGGTTGAAAGCCAGCGGCGGGTCGTCGCTGGTCGACACGACGCGAACCTACCGTGCCTAGGATGAGGAACTGGTCCGGGGGAAAAGGTCGAGACCCCCCTTGCATCTTCAGGGGGCCTCGTCTGTCCCGTCGCGTAAGGGTTCTTGAAAAGCCCCCCGCCGTGTAAGGGAGCCAAACCTCCAGAGACGTGAACATATTTCGAGTCATGCGTTTTTCTGGCTTTCGATCTTTGGAGGCCAACTCCTGGCCAAGTGGCAATCGAAAACGGCTCAGGGTGAAAAGCCGGCCCCCGGGACAAAAAACGTCGAGGCCCGAAGGAGCTGGGGGAGGACGGACAAACGTCGCGCCGGAACACGGATCGAACCGGAACGCGAGTCGGATCGGGGCGCATCGGCTCGGAGTCGGAATCGAACCAACTGGGCCGCGCCAGCGTGCACAACGGCCCCGCGCGAGCATCGGGCCGGGTCGGATCGCCGAAGGTCAGGAGCGGATCGGATTGCGCTGGCCGAGCTTGATATCGAATCGGATCGATCGGATCGAGATGGGCCTTCGAGAGGGGGCGGGGCGGCATTTTTCAGGAGGTGGATTGGGGGGGCGTTTCGCCGCTCGCAGAATTCGGGCCCAGCGTTTTGTGCTGGCGAGCCCAGCGACGCCGCCCTGCGGGCCCGACAGGAGTGACTCCGTTGCGCCTGATTATCGGTCGAGCCATCGCGCTAACGCACGGGCCGCTGAATAACAAATGACGGGGCTTTTCTGACCACGGCGAGCCTCGGCGACGAGTGGGTTTCCCAACCGAACCCTGAGAATCGGCCGGGCAACCAAAGGCCCCTCCTGATCCCAGAGTGATCCTTATCTCGGCGTCTTGGCTGCAGCCTTCGAGCGGAAGCTTTGGCAATGTGAGCGTCCTGTTGACAAGCTGTTCGGGAACATCGTTTCCGATGGGTCCTCGGACGGTCTTTAGACGTGCAGCAGTATGCACAAGCGACAGGAAGTCTTGCTGTAAGAAATCGTGGTGCACTTCGTCGAGGTTTGAGCTTCCTGAGGTGCCCCGCTGCCTCTGTGAGCCCCCAGGGCCGTTGGGGCATTGGAAACTTCTGCGGTGCTACTGCTGGCAGGCCGATCTCTATCTTGTCGTGCCCGCTGTGCCTCTGCCCGCCCCCGAGACGGGCCACGCTCGAGCTGGCGGCCCTCGGGCGCAGCACCGTCAGGTTCCGAGGCGCACCGTCGCCCGAACCGGCGCGCACGAAGTGCACCTGGGGCGGCTCTGGGCCGCGCCGCTATCTGACCCCTGCATGCACCATCCTCGAACCGGTACGCAAAGGATCGTAAAGCCTCTTCCCGTCAGGCTGCGGCTTGGCCAAGTACAGGGCCGCTGTGAGGCTGGGGTCGCCGAGCTGGCCCACGGTCACTTCCTTCCCATCGAGGGTGAGGAGGGGCGCGAGCTTCGGCAGCCCGTTGGCCTTCAGCTGGTCCCGTACGCGACCGATGGCGTGGGCGGATCAGAGCCGGCGCGCCCAGCGACGCCCCCTGATGACCTGGCAGGAGGGCCTGTCTGGGCGGCTGATGTCGGTAGCACTTGGCCACGCCAAAAGCTGGCAGACAAGCCGTCAAGTGAAATCCCAGAACATCCAGAAGCCTCCCCACACCTCCCCGGGTTGAAACTTCGCCTCCCTCCGAGAGATCCGATGTTCTGTTTTTTGTCAACACGGGGTCCTCGGATATCTCGACCCACTCCAGAGGACAAATTTTCATCCTGAATCCTTCTTTGGCCGTCCCGATGCCCGCAACGGCCCCCGGGACGCCGTCTTGATTTTTTCATGACTCGATGGGGGTCTGGGTTGAAACCCTTGGCCTTCCTCCTCGCCCCAGGGTTGGAGGTGTTGGGACCTGGGGGCCTGCTGGGACCAGCCCAGGCGGCGCCCGGGACTGTGGCCATGTGCAGCCCCAGGCCGTGCCACCTCCGAGGGCCCTCCCACCTTTTGGAGGAGGGAGGAGGCGCGAGGAGGAGGAGGAGGCGGAGGAGGAGGAGGAGGCGGAGGAGGAGGAGGAGGAGGCGGAGGAGGAGGATAGAGGAACACGAGACGGCAAACACATTAGCCTGGCGAAAGACCCAACTATACCTATACGACCACCCTTCGGGTGATAAAGAGGTTGTGTGGGGGGGGAAGAGGGGGGGGAACCAACATCTGACTCAATCGATCTCACCCAACTGGACACTACGGGACACCACGGACCACGGGACACCACGGGACACCGCGGGACACCTCTCGATCTCACTATCGGTCTCGCTATCGATCTCACTCAACGGGACACCATAGGACACCACGGGACAACTCGGGACACCACATCGATCTCAATATCGATCTCACTCCACGGGACACCACGGGACACCTGTCGATCTCACGATCGATCTCACTATCGATCTCACTTTTTGGGACACCACGGGACGCCACGGGGCACCACATCGATCTCAGTATCGATCTCGCTCTCGATCTCACTCGACGGGACACCACGGGATACCTTTCGATCTAACTATCGATCTCACTATCCATCTCGCTTTTTGGGACACCACCGGACACCTCGGGGCACCACAACGATCTCAGTATCGATCCCAATATCGATCTGAATATTGATCTCACAACGGATCTCACCATCGATCTCACTAAACAGGACACCGCGGGACACCACGGGACACCGCGGGACACCGCGAGCCACCGCCGGACGGACGGACGACGGACGGGCGGGCGGGGGATAATCATTTGTCTTGACTTCGTCCTAGTAACGGCGGACACCACGGGACACTACAGGACACCACGGGACACCGCGGGACACCGCGAGCCACCGCCGGACGGGCGGGACGGCGATACTCATTCGTCTTGAGTTCGCCCTAGCAACGGCGGGCACCACGGGACACCACGGGACACCACGGGACACCGCGGGACACCGCGAGCCACCGCCGGACGGACGGGCGGGCGGGGGAGAATCATTTGCCTCTACTTCGCCCTAGCAACGGCGGGTTCATTCCTCTCGCGCGCCCACGCAGCTTCGCCTCGCCCGCACGCACGACACGAGCGGAACGAACCGATTTCCCAGTTGGGGGTCTCCGTTCTACTGCAATCTCACCCCCCAACCTCCGATGCAGTTGTGAATGCCGCAGTTTGGGGTATAGTCTTCGGTAGAGCTGGGCCACGAAACCCGGTACTGGGTGGGGGAGACGCATGCGAACTTTGCCGCTGGGGCCTTCCGTTGAGCTCCTGATGGGGCAACGAAACGCTGTACTGTGTGGGGGAGACGCACATGGACGGTGCCGCTGGGACCTTCGGTGGAGTTCTCTTTGGGGCCACGAAGCGCTGTAATGGATGGGGGGACGCACGTGGGCGGTAGCACTGGGACCTTCGGTTGAGCTCCTTACGGGGCCACGAAGCGCTGTGCTGGGTGGGGAAGTCGCATGCGGACTGTGCCACTGGGGCCTTCGGTTGAGCTCCATATGGGGCCACGAAATGCTTTACTGGGTGGGGG